ATCCAGAGTGTGAAAGATCAGGCAGCGACTCCCGCCACCCAATCCCTGCCAATCATCCTGTGTTTAAAGGATTCCCACATCCCCTACCAATAAGTGTTTAAGAGAGAGGCACGGGATTTAGGAGTTCAATGGGATTGAAGTCTATAGATTCTAATGTCTGAGACAAGAAGGCTGTGGGAAGATCAAGGCTGAGTTCTCTGGATCTGCAATTAGAATCACTGAGGAGAAGTTGAAGAATCGAGGAAAAGACAGTAATTTGAACAAGGCAGGAAATACATTAGGAAAAGAGAAAACCAGGGATAGGTTTTAGGCATGACCGCAGTCTCCCACACATCCCATCCCCCCCGCTCCATGTTCACCCTTCTTTTACTCTGCCCCACATTCTAACACTCAAGCCAGTACCAACTCTGATTACTCAAGCTAGAAATTTTTGCTTTTTTTTTTTGTTTGTTTGTTTGTTTGCTTGTTTGGTGGCTGGCCAATAATGGGATCTGAACTCTTGATGTTTGTGTTATCAGCACCACATACTCCCAAGTGAGCTAACCAGCCAGCCATACTTTCTGTTTTAAGAGGAACTTCAACATAGCAGAAACTTTGATAAACCTGTGTAAACATCTCCTTGCCTGTTTTGCTGCAGAAACCAGAGAAGAAAAGGCAAAGTTCATGTCCACCACCACCCCACCCCCCACACACACACCCTAAAGTACTAAAATTTGATTTAATAAATGGACAGACGGCTTAATGGAACATGGGAATTTCTGGGCAATTAATTATCACACATCGCAACTGTAAATTGGGACAAGGACTAAGAAATGCAACTACTCTATGACCCTGCTATTTCATGTCACTACACATACTGCAGCAGTTTTTCTAACTACGTAATACAGTGCATTGAGACTCACAAATTAGTTTACTGGATGTGAACAAACATCTCTTACTGTTTTGAAAGAAAATTGCCATGTCAATTTTTTTTTACACATCTAAAATAAAATAGAGATATGATTTTTTCAAACTTTAAAATGTATGTTTAAAAATAGACATGGGTTCTATAACAGCTATACCTGGACCCCTTTTGAATTTCCCCATTATTGCCACAATATCTCAGGTTGTCAAATTAACATCTACTAAAAAATCAGAATTCCACATCTGTGGACTAGAGACTAGTCTATTGCCTGGTTGGAGACCAGTCTTGATCCAACAAGACCTGATCTTCCGGTAACAGTACTCCGTGCAGGGAAAATTTAAAAAATTTTCTTGTTTGGTTCCTAACGTAGGAGCCCAGAGTATTCTGAAATGCAGTCTCACTGACGATAACGTTGCAGGCACAGGACTATAGGAAATGGTCTTTGTGCATTTCTTCTGCGCATGTGCATCCTCGCTCCCCTCGCTTTCTGGGAAACGTAGTTTTGCCTTGCAATGACGTCACCCTTGCAGGCCTACTTTGGGAAAGGATTTTCCGGGTTTCTTCTGCGCATGTGCGATCCCGAGCACTCCGCCAACTTTTGTGGAGATTCCGGACGCTTCTGCTGTCCCCTACGCTGCTCCTCAGATCCTGTGGTTGGATCGTGCGTCCCTGAAGGTGGGTGCGGGGGTGAAAGAGGAGCCCGCGGGCCTCAGGGGCCCTGGGGAGCGGGCCGGTGTCCCGGCACTTGGGGGGCAGGAGCGCCGCGGACCTCGGGCGCGCGGGGCCTGACGTGGGGCGCGAGCGCGGACCTGGGCCGGGCCGGGGAAGGGGCTCCCGGGCTGCGTTTTCCAGACGGTTCCGTCAGAGGACGGCGCTGCCGGGTGTGCAGAAGCCGGTTCCAGATGTCCCAGGACGGGGGCTCAGGTCCGAGGTGGCGACGGGAACGTGGATGGGGGTGTCTGAAGACAGCGACCCTGGGAGGTGTGGGGAGGTCACGTTCCAGCTCCGCCATCAGGAACCTGGTACCGACCTATGGGACACTCACTTCACCATCTGTAACGTGAGCGTGTGGACATTAGTGTCATGCCCCAGATCCCAGGTGTGAACCTGGGACTGTGAGGTGTGTGCAGATGGAGCGTTACTCTGTGGCTGTTGTGGTCGTTGGTGTCTCGGTGTCTCTCCTTGAGGTCAAGTTTCTGCATTGTGTGGTCTACCCAGCACTCCTGGCCTGAGTTTACAGACTTTGATATAAGACCCAATTGTCAGGGACAGTGACTTCTAGGAGGGACTTGGGGCATAGGATGACATTCTGGTTTTATTTGGGGTACAGGAGCTGTGACAGAGTTTGAAGGCGGGCGCCCTATGAATGTGAATAAGAATCCCACCTGCGAGAACATCGCTGTGGCCTGGACCCTCTCAGGACTGCGTCAGAGCAAAGGCAAAGGAGTCCCAGAAAGGGGCAGCTTTCACAGCCCACGCAGTTATTCAGTCCAGTGCGTACAGTGCACAAGATTTAGCCGTAATACCTCATTCAGGAACTATCTGAGACTGGGTGATTTTGGAAGCTTTAGGCCAACTTTCAAAAGGGAGAGTGAGTTTGAGAAGAACAGGCAAAGACGTAGGAAATGTTACTCACTGAAGGGGTTTGAAGGTGTTCCGTGGGGTGCAGGAATAACCTGTCACAGCTGAGAGCATCTGTCTGCAGTGCTCTCTGAACACACTCCCATTCCTTCAATCTTCCCTCATTGTTCCTAGTGTCTGAGCTCCCTCAAACCCAGCCTATCACCAATTTTGGCATCTAGAGATATGCTGATGGTTTTATATCTTCACGGTTTCTTTCTGGTAGTTCAGGAATATTTTGCCAGTTATTTCTATTTTGGAAGAAAACTGAAAATAATTGGATATGAGGAAATGTGAATTGCTGAGGGGCACATGATTTGTTGATGTTAGACATCCTGACTTATTGCCTGTTGTTCTCCATTTTGCCACACTTCCATCAAAACAACTGTTTGTTTACTGTTGAGATTACTTCTGTAATGCTGAAGACAACTTAGAACAAGGTATGCTTTGACATACATTGCCTTAAACGTCCCTATCCTTTTTTGATCTCCAGTGCTTTCCATGGATCATTTTACCACAAAGAGTAAATAACATAAGTACTTCCCTTAATGTCAGTATTCTGTTCTTGAAAATCACAAATTTTGCCAATGTATATAGGAGCCAATTTTACATTACTTAAATGGGAAACTTAGAATACTAGTGTTCCTTAAAAACTTCATGGAGAGATCCATGTTTTCTTTTAATTATATTTTTCCATGAACTTTTGAAGTACCCTGATACAGTTCACTAGTAACTTATAAGAAACAGACACTTTTTATGTTTTTAAAGTAAACAATTTGTACATGACATTAAAAAAAATAAAAAAAATCTTGCACTATAGTTTACTGATGTGCAAACAATTAATTTTTATGGTTCACATGACCTGCATTAGTGCCAGGAATCTCAATGAAGTCCTCTTAGTTGATATTCATTGTAATTTCCAAAACTTCACCCTGTGGTTGTGAAGGTATATTGATTGTATTTGACATGTAATTTAAGGTTTTCTTCCCCACATAATTTTGTTGAAAACATATTGAGTTCTGGGGGCTTAGGTGTATCACTTAGTATTTGCCATGTAAGGAACAAATCAAAACCCAAATGGCTTTAAAAACCCAGCCATTTTATTTTCTTGGAGTTCTAGGAATTCACATTTTGGGTGTGTTTAGCTGGGTGGTTCAGCTTTAGTCACCTGGTGCCTTGACTGAGGCTGGTTGGTTCAAGATGGCTTCATTCATATATCCAGTGGTTTGTGCTGACTCTTGGCTGGGGCCTCTGTTTCCAAAAGTTTAGCCCCAGGCTTCTTCACACTGTGATTATGTTTAAGAAGGCAAGCACCAGTGGCCAGTATTTGTCAGACTTATGTTTGCATGACATTTGCTAATGTGCTGTTGGCCCAAGCAAGTCATACAGCAAAGCTCTGTTCGTTGTCAGAGCATAATACATGAGGGTTTTGGTGTAGGGAGATCAATCACTGGGTAACGTTACTGGAATAGTATACCAAAAGAGATATATATAATGTACATTTTTTACCTATGTAATCAAAAGAGATATATATAATGTACATTGGTAACGTTACTGGAATAGTATACCAAAAGAGATATATATAATGTACATTTTTTACCTATGTAATCATGGCCAAAAGATGTTGGGTTGCCAAATGTGTACTATACAGATATTTAGGTATATATAAATGAGATGTGTTGAAGTGGAGACACTTATCTGGAGTCGTGTGTGGAGTCATTATATTAATACAAAAATAGTCAATATTAGCCTAACTCTATTTCTATAGCATTAGTATTAGTAATGACACAATGTGTTTTTCTTTGTTTCAATGATTAAGTTGTATGTTTAGGTAAGGTTGATTCTTGCTAAATCAGTAGGTAATGTATATTTTCATTAACCCAAAAATAAATTATGTGTCCAATGTGCACTAATTAATGTACTTGCAGATGCATGTTTAATGGGTCTTTGTTGTGCCTTTATTGACCATAAAGGATTTTTGTCTCACAGGGAGACTTTTTGTTTGTTTGTTTGTCTTTTCCAGCTAACGTGTAGAGAGTTTTGGGCAGGAGAATCCAGGGTCAAGCCACAACAGTTCTCTCCTTAATCTACTTCATTCCGTCCTCTCCCAGCTAAGCTGCCAGAGTGTGCTATGCTTTTCCAAGAGCAAGAAAAGATGTATAAGTCTCCGGTGAGTTGTTTATTTATTTATTCCTTATTTTTTTTCACTGTATTACCTGGGTATTGTGGGGAGCATGAATGAAAATGGAAAAGTAGAAATGAGTATGGCCAGCCTATTGCTCACTCAGGAAAGTGCAGTGCTGATAACACCAAAGCCCCGGGTTTGGATCCTGTATAGGGATAGCCACTTAGCTCACTGGTCGAGCATGGTGCTGACAACACCGGGGATCTTTAAAAAAAGAAAAAGAAAAGAAAAGAAATGAGTAAACCTCAGCTTGAAGGAAATGTACATATGTACAGTAAAGTTTGGATATAGATATAGAAGATATAACACTTCAGAGTCATCTAAGTTGAGTAGAAATTTGTCTCTGGTCTTTCTGTTGTCATGTCAAAAAGGCAGACACTTTTTTTGAATGATTGGAATGAAACCTGACAAGAGAATATGTCAAATTCTCATGGGATATGAGCATTTATTGGCACTAAGTTCGGAAATACCATCTCTGTTAGAAAGTTTTTGACTGCCAACCTGGAAATGAATGCATAGCTTTCCAGAGTGGAAATGTTTAGTGAGTGCTAAGGCACATGTTGCTGAATAAGCAGTCTGTAAGGATTCATGTAATTTAAGGCTTTCTCACCCACATAATTTTGTTAAAACATACTGAGTTCTGGGGGCTTACATGTATCATTTAGCATTTGCTGTGTAAGAACAAATCAAAATGCAATTGTTTAAAATATCAGACCACTTTATTTTCTTGAAGTTCTGTGGATCCACATGTTGGGTATAGTCGGCTGGGCAGTTCTCATGCTAGCATTGCCTGGATGGCAGATGCAGCTTTCGTCACCTGGTGCCGTGATTGAGGCTGTTGGTTCAAGATGGCTTCACTCACATGTCCTATGGATTGCGTACAGGTTTGGAAGACTGTACTTCATTCATGGAATTATCACGTAAATTACAGTGAAGTCCAGTGCCTATTCCGTAGTTTTCTTCTAACTTGAAGCTTCTGCCCCATTTGACACTGCTGTACATGATCTTCCCCTGGAAATTCTGTGTCAGTTAGTTTGTTTCTCTAATCCCCTTACTGATGGTTTTCTCTCTTTTCTTCAGAATTCTTCTTTCTTCTTAACATAGCTCATCCAAGTGCTTCATTCTGGGTGCTATTCTTCTCACTATGCTCTTCTTCACTGATTCAGTCCTCTTTAGTTTGCAATCTTGGTTCTATTTAGCTTTTTCCCTTTTCTATTTCTTCCCTTTTCCTTGGATCATAGGTTGAACTCACTTTTGACTGCTTACCTTAAGGTCCATGAATCCAAAATGAAAGTGACATCTACTTTTTTCTCTTACATGTGGTATCACTACCATCCAGACAGTGACCCAAGCCAGTGAAATGGGATGTTTCCTGGACTCTTCCCTGTTTCTTGTGTCTGATCCTTTGTGGTGTCAATTCTTGCTACTTTTGTTTGCTTGTTCTTTTCATATTATTCAGATTTCTGTATACACTGCCTATATAGGGGGAGGAGGTGTCGGTGCTTATACAGACAGTAACTTTGTTCCATTGGAAATATTTTTGTAAAAACCTGAAGGGCATGTTTCCTAGTGATGAGGCTCAATCCCTGGTGACCTGGGCTTCTAACCAGCACCTGTGGTGACATCCTTAAGTGTCTGAGGGAAGAAAGCCTTCAGGAGTTAGTGGGACATTGATGAAGAGCCAATAAAAAGGCATGCAAAGAACAAGAACAGAAATTGCAGATTTTCATAATTTGTACATTTTGCTTCTATAAATTTATGTCAGTGATTCTATGTGTAGTTTTTCTTACTGTGCAGTTTTGTGTTTCTGCTTCAAGAAGACTTGTCATGTTTTTAAACTTTTTTACTATTGTATTGCATTCTTCTATTTCAGGTAATCACTTAGAAATGAATGAGAAAAATGGATGTGTGCATTAGTCATCAGTATGTTTATAAACTGGAACCATAGCTCACAGTTGGTTAGGAAAGAAAAGTGACAGACTAGTTAACTGAAAGTTGACATTCTCAATTAGAGTTTGAGATGTAATATAAGATGTGAAATGCTGGCTTTATTTTGGACCTAATGTTCAATGTGAACCTACATTCTTCCTGTTACATATCAGAGTACTGCCTATGGTCTCTAATGACTTGTTTGGTGTTCCCATGATCAGCTGTGTAACAAAGTGACACAAAACTTAGTTGCTTAGAATAAGAATTTCTTCCTTACTCCATGTTGGAATGTTGTGAGTAAGTAGACTGTAAAAGGGAAGTGTGGGTTGACTGCTGCATGATGTGTCTGGTCTCATGTGGAAGAACACTAGTGGCTGGGGATATTGGGCAGACATCCAGCCCTCTCTTTATGGCCAGGTGGGCTTCCTCAGAGTCTGGCAGTCTCAGGGTAGTCAGGTTTTTCTGGCTTCTCCCAGGACAAATGTCCAAGAGGCCCAGGCAGAGGCTTTGAGGCTTCTGGTTATCTCTATTCAGATCCCAAAGCATGTCTCCCATCACATTTTCTTAGTCAAGCACATCACTAAGAGCAGCGCTGATTGAAGAGGAAGGCAATTAGATTCCATCTCTCAATAAGAGGAATAGGGGCCGGCCCGGAGGCGCACTGGAGAGTGCGCCGCTTGGGAGTGCAGTGGCGCTCCCGCCGAGGGTTCGGATCCCATGTGGAGACCGGTTCCCGCTCACTGGCTGAGCGTGGTGTGGGCACAACACCGAGGGTTGTGATCCTGTTGCCGGTCCCTGGTACGGGCGTGACACCGCGGGTGGCGATCCCGTTACCGGTCAGTAAAAAAGGCAAAAAGGGAAAAAAAAAAATAAGAGGAATAGTAAGACTTTGCAGCAGTCTTTAATAGACCCCATTTGTCTCTCTGGCCATAAATTTCTACCACATGCAAGATATACTTTCCCCCTCTCAAGAGCCCTAGAAATCTACTGTTATACACTTGGCTGAAAACCCAACTAAATCATGGTCAGTAGCCCATTACCTTCATCTCCTCAACATGTGGCCAGTTCTCAATGAGGAGAATGGCATAAACACGTGGGCACTTCCCTTCAGACAGTAGGGTGGGAAGGAGTGGCACCCTGCAGGCGCTGGTCTGAGCAGTTAGTTATGCCTATTGAGCACCTGGTTTAGTTCTTAGATTAGGGTGCCATGTTTGTCTCTGGAAACAATACCTCCTGCTTCTGCGCTGTGCCCTCTGGGCTCTCACTACTCTCTGTCAACATCCATTTGTATTAAATGCCTGAGTTTGCAGTTGACCAATTTCTTTGCCTATTTTCAGGTTATAATAGTTGAAAATCCAATGACCCTTTAAAAAATTTTTTTCTAATTCTGCCCTTTTGATACTAGAAATTACCCTGTTTTACATCTTTAAAAAGCATCGACTTCCATTGTACTATAATCCATTATATCAGTGCTACCTCTCTGTTAGGCCCTTTTTTCTCTGGCCTCCTCTTCTCTTGGAGGCAGCTGTTCCTTAAGAAGTTTCATTGTTTATCAGTCACTGTCTATGTATCACACCCTGTGGTATTTAGAATACTGGAATTTTTTTTTTTTTTAACAAAATACTGTGATTCTTGGCACAAAGGAGTTTGTGTCTCGGAAAAAAGTTGGATTGAAAAGTAGTTTTCTTTCAAACTCAGCAAGTTCTGGCTCCTTTACATTTTCTTTAAATTTTGTTTGAAAATTGAACATCTTTCTTTCTTTCATTGTTACTTATTTATTTATTGATGCATGGCCTATGGGGGGATTCAAGCCCTTGACCTTGGTGTTATCAAAACTGTGCTCTGACCATCTTAGTGATCTGGCCAGCCAGCCACCTTTAATTTATCTCTCTTCTCATATTTTCTCAGTGACAGAGATAGGAGAGCAGGTAGCACTTTTCCCATTGTTCACAGAATTCTCCTTTGGCAGATCCCTGAGAGGTTGAGATATCCTTTCCATTTTCCGTGCTATGGTAAGCAATAGTGTGGCCCACATCCTTCACTGCTCCATTTATTTCTGGTAATATATTTCATGCTGAATATTCTTTTGGCTAGTGTTAATATTTCCACTTAAGCTTTTCATAGTTAGTGTTTGTGTAGTAGTTTATTTTTATTTTTTACCTTTCAGTCTGTTTGTGTCTTTGTGTTTAAAGTGTATGTCTCTGGATAGCATATCATTGGGTCTTTCTTATCAAATCTGATAGTTTTTGCCTTCAGTAGAATATTTAGACTAATTCCATTTAATCTAATTATTGAAAGTGATACGTTTAGGTCTGCCATTTTGCTGTTTTGTAGTTGTTGTCATCTCGTCTGCCTTTTAATCCTTTGCTTTTCCACTTTTCTTTTCCTAGATTTTTTTTTCGGTTAGTCACATATTTTTAAATATTTTAGTTTGTTGCATGAATTAGTTTTTAAAATATTTATTTTAATTTTAGTTTTGGTAAAGAAAAATATACATAGCAAAAAATTTAGCATTTGAACCAGTTTTTACCTTTAAGTAGTGTTATGTATGTTTGCATTGATGTGCAGAAGATCTCCAGAACTTTTTTATCTTGGAATATTGAAGCTCTATGTCCATTAAATGACAACCCTCAATTTTTCCCTCCTTGTAGCTTCTGACATCTGACATACTAGTTCGGTTTCTCAAAATTTGTCTCATATCAGTGGGACCATACCATTCTTGTTATTTTGTGAGTGGCTTATTTCACTTTGCATAATGTCCTCACTGTTCCTTTTTATAGTATATGTTAAGATTTCTTTCTTTTTATGGCTGTATAATATTCCTTTCTGTTTACATACCACAATTTATTTATCCATTAATTCATGGACGGATGTTTGAGTTGCTTGTACCACTTCACTATGTGACTAATGCTGCCTTGAATTCCACTGGTATGGAAATATCTCTTGTAGATTCAGCTATTAATTATTTTGGATATATACACTGAATTTGAACTTCTGAATCACACGGCAATACCATTTTAAATTTTTTGAGAAGGCAGTGTATTTTTTTTTAATGG